CTTTTAAAAAGTGTTTCCAACTCTGGTATAATCTAGGAAACCAAGAACAATTTAAAAAAAAAAATTGATAAAATCCAGTGAAATAACATTCCTTCTCCTCCCTCCAATTCCTCCTTCTTCTTCCTTTCCTTATTTTCATTCTTCCTTTCTGACATTCTGTTTCCTTCCTTCTTACTCCGTGATTTTCTTTCATTTTCTTTTTTCCATCAAAAAGAACCTGCAGTGTATAAAAAAGAACATATGCAGTAAGGTTCATGGAATACTCCATGAACTCAGACTCCAATGAAATAAAGAGGTACATCTGCAAAACAGGCAAGGGCAGTATAACAGCTGACATATCAGAGATTCTTGGAAACTCATGCAAAAAAAAATTTTTTTAAAACCCATTTCAAACCATACAAATTTTATTATGAGATAAGATGTATGCTATCAGTTCCATAGGGAAGACAGGTTTGTTTGACACTAAATTCTAAGGAGAATTTTACATATGTGTCGTCACAAAGTGACACTGCTGTGAAAAATATATGCCCTGAGAAAAAATCACAGCAGATGTGGATGTGTGTCGTCAGATGCTTCCTCCTCAAAACTAACCGAATACATTTAGTAGAAATTAAGGAACTAATGTTATAGTAGCTAATGTTGCCCAAGGTGTCTGAGATGTTGTCCATGGAGAGAACCTGCCTTTATGATTCTAGAAGAATCATTTCTCTCATCCATGTTTTTGGTAGGAAGGAGACGATAGCAGGTTGATTCCTTTATAAAACTACCTCTCACATATCTGTAAAACAACAGAGAGCAGCCACTGGACTCATTCATCAATTTCTCTCTTTCTCGTTATACTGAGGCTTGCACAAAGGAAGAAAATGATTACGTTAAGATTTTTGTCAGCATTTCTTTACTTCTGCGTAAATATCACCAACTTTTAAGGGTTGAAGTGAGAAAACCGAGATGTGTTTAAACTCCCTTGTTTGCTAAGTACGATCATAGGGTAGGGGGATTGCTATAAATGTGGGAAATGAATAAACAATCACCACTGAGATGAGTGCTGGTTTGTTTAGGACTGGGTTCACTTAGCTGCCTACATGCTTTACTCTCCTAATGGGGCGATTTGCTATCTAACGCCTTCCAGCCACCATTCCCCTGCCTATAAAAATGCTCTCCCCTGCCTTCTGTCCTGCTAAATCCAGCTCCTTCTTCCCCTCCAATCTGAAAAGAAAGGTCCATCCTTCTCCAAACGCCTTTTCAGACTAATCCCACCTGCCTCTATTCATTACTTAAACCTTTTGGGGTGTGAAATGAGCTGCAGTGCCTGGCTGTGTATTTGCGGCGTGCATCATCATTCTTTGTAGCTTTAGTGTGTCCAACGGCTTAACACATCCCTACCTAAGCTCCTGCTCCAGGGAAGAATTCTTATCACAGCAAATACAGTCTGGGGAGAGAGACAAAAGAGAAGAAACCTAAGGAGGGAAAGAGAAGAGAGGCAGAAGATTTAATACCGTGCAAGTGGCCTTGGGATAGCCTCTTTTCTCTCCCCAGAATTCAGCTCCGTGTATATATTTGCACTCCATCTATGAACTCAGAAATGATAATGGCTGCATCTATATGCTTCTTTTCTCACCTAGAATAAAGTTCTCCTGAAGTCCCTTTGAGGGTGCATAACCCATAAAAATGGTAATAAAGGTTTAGAAATAGGTTCCCACGGGGCATCAGTATGTCAGCCAGGTAAGGCTCTATGGTGCTTCCATGCGATAGTAAACTTCCCTGATTCCAAACCACTATGTGTGTGATGAGTTATCGAAATCTGCAGATCTGGAGCACTTTTAAGATTTAGAAAATTCACGCACTAGTTGTAATCTTCTCAGAGAGCCTCTCCAAAATTTATCAACTAATTTCCTTGTAAGGAAAGTGATGCAGGAAGAGCCTCCGGGGCAGGGATTTACTTGCAGGAGGCAATATAATATATTCTCTCTTCATTCATTTTTTCAGTAGTTCTGTGATTTTTGTCTTTCAAAAATAAATGACTAGCGAAGGCTTGCTAATCTTTTACTTTTCTAAGAACATTTTAATGTATTATTTACTGTATTGTCCATTATTCATTACAATAAGGAATAGTTTGGTGTAAAGTTCTGCTGGTGCTTTGTATTGTGTTGACTGTGAATACAGATTCAAGTAAGTTGTGTTCAGTTGGTAAAAGAATGAGTGTGACTTGGGATTTGAAATGCAGGTAGTCCATCCCAAACCTCAAATTCTAACCTGCAGTACTGAGGGTAAGCTGGAAAAATGTTCATGTGTTCCCATAGTCCCTATAAGGTTGCGCATAACAATAGTTGGTATGAAAATTTATTTATGTGAGAAATTCCTAAGAGCAGAGCCTTGTACAGGCGGAAGAAAAAGATGCCATATTTGGCTATGACCATGGTATGACATAGTCCCTTGACTACAGCAGGCCCCAGAATTGGGGGCTTGTTAAAATTTGGGGAGCTTATTAAAATTCAGGTGACTGGATACCCTCCTCCCAGAGTTTCTCATTAAGCTGGCCAGGAGCAAGGCTGGGGAGTTTATGGTCTAATGCATTCCCTTTCTCCCGAGGCTGATGCTGCTTGTCTAGAGAACAGAACTTTGACAATATATCAGGGAGAGTCAGGGATAGAGAAGACCATCTTAACCCTTGGAGCATTCAGCAGAATGATGAGACTGGGAATGTTGACAGATGAAAGAAAAGGGCTTTCAAGACGGAGATTAGAGAGCAACTGTGACCCACCAAATATACCCTCAACAGAGATGGTCACTAATCAATTCCAGTGATGTTTTGGGGCCTGCACTCAGGGTGAACATAACTGAGAGTCTTCAGTTGGAGAAGCATACCTTGGTGTTTTTAAAGGCCAAAACTGGTATGAGGATTTTTACCAGAAGCTCTACCTATGTTAAAAATTCAACATTCTGTAAGATCTATTTTCATCCACATTCTGCCCTTTCTACATATGTGAATCCTTAAACATAAACTGCATTGGTGAAGGCTTCAGGCCTGTTTTGTTTTCTAAGCTGTAGCAAATACATTTTATATAAATACTTGAGATGATTCTTTTGCCCACATGGAGGAAGCAGCTTACTCTCTAACAATAACAAGGGTCATCTTTCTTTTGGTGAATTCATTTCAGCCTTTATTAAAGGAGTGGTTATGGTTTTGCGTGCTTGAATCATTTATACCTGTTTACAAAAACTGCAAAATGCTAAATTCAGGAACATTAGATAAAGCTTCCATTGCCCCTGCTCTCTATTGAGCAGATGAAAGGTACCAGACAGACACTTTCAGATATTCAAGGCATTGAAAGAGAGAAGAATCACCCACTATCTAGTTCTTTTAATCTAATTGAGCACTGATGGTTTTGAGTGTTCTTGAAAATCCCCTACAGGGATAGGAAAGGGTCAGTGTTAGCTAGAGTCTGGGAAAGACATCAGGCCTTCTGTTGAAGAGGCAATGGGTTGGTCCACCATACTATGTTAAAAGTGGCAAACTAATACAACCTCTATGAAGAGAAGTATGAGAATTCTCAAAGAACTAAAAGGGGACCTTTCATTTGATCCTTCAATCCCATTACCATCCCCGAAGAAAAAAAAAATCATTTTACAAGGATGTTCCCACTAGAGTGTTTATTGGAGCTCAATTTACAATTGCCAAGATGTGGAAGCAACCCAAGTGCCCATCAACCCACGAATTGATTAACAAAGAGTGGTATATGTATATACATGGAGTGCTATTCAGCCATAAGAAAAGATGGAGACTTTAAATCTTTCATGTTTTCCTAAATGGAGTTAAAACACATTCTTCTTAGTAAAGTATCATAAGAATGGAAAAAAGGTATCCAATGTACTCAATACTAGTATGATAGTGATATATAAACAACCACACACCCCAAAAAAGAAAAACACAAGTATAGTGTTTTTCTATATGAGGGAGAAGGGAAGGTGATAGGCAGGAGGAAGAAGGGTGATTGGTGGGAACTCACCTAATGTGTACCATGTGCGAGTGTTCAGGACACCCCTGGGGGGAAGGGCTCAACTACAACTTGAACGTGACCTTAGAAATGAGAACAATGTAACCTAAACATTTGTACCCTCATAGCAATCTGAAATTAAAAAAAAAAAAAAGTTAAGAACCACATCACTTCCTAGCTGACCAGTAGAATGTAGCAGGAATTGGATCTTTCCAGACTAAAGGCATGTTTTTATATGAAGATTAAAATCTTCAATAAATAAAAGGCAGTAAACAAAATGAAGAATTGAAAGCTAAACATTCCCAGCTGAGTCTGAGAAGGAGCATGAGGTTAATTAGGAGAAATCTTCAAGTTTAACAACAACAAATATCTTTTATCATATGAAGGTGTCTCTGTCCCCACCCTATGATGGCTCACTTATTGACAGGTCTAGGCTACATCCTCTCTCTTTTAAAGCAATTGCGTGGCTTCTGATTTTAAATTGGGGCTTGTTAGCATTTGAGTTGAAAGCAATATAAAGAGAAAAAAAAATTGGGGAAAAAAACACTGAAGATCTTTTTCTATGTTGTTCTTAGGCACCATGCAATTTTTGAAAGATGAATTGTACTCAAGAAGAGAAAGAATTAAATTACAATGCAGCAATTCTATAAAATGGTCCTTTAAACTGGACATTATGGAAACTATTGGGTAGCATACAAAAGTTAAATTAAAAAAAAAGAAGATAGCCAAGTGATATATGCAATGACTTTAACTTTGTAAAATAATATGTAAGTATGCAAAGACCAGAAGTATTAGGCAAATGTTAAAATTACAAGTCATTAGGGGTAATCTAGTGATTAACATCATCCTATAGATAGGAACATATTTGAGGTTTTATATTAAAATTTCAACCCCTTTATATGGAATCTCATCATTTCTTTCAACGTCCATAGCATTAAAGAAATAAATGTAGTTTATGGGAGTCTTGTCTGTGTTTTCTGTAGTTTATATGTCCTTTTCTCCTAGGAGTGGAAACTCTTCAATGCCAATCTCCTCAACCCAAAGTGGACCATTTGTTAAACTGAGCACAGCAGCTGATGGCAGCTTAACACTAACACCTAGGTGAGTCCTGAAATCTGTCCTTGGAGTAGTTGTACATGGACCAGAAAGAAGACGGATTTTGGAGGCTGGTCATATTTGAATGCTACCACATACTAGCCACATAATACTGAAAGTTATTGGATATATTATTTTTCAGGTAATCTCAAACAGCACCAATTCGATCCTATCTGATAACAAATGTTTAACCCTCATTTAGGGTCAAATGAGGTATTGTATATGTAATTGCCTGGCACATGGATAGGAATTTGAAAAATTTTAATTTTATACTTTTTTTATCCTTACCCTCGGATTCATAAATAATTAAATCACACAGATAGAAATTGTGGGACTTGGGATAAATATGTCCCGCGTTGGTCAGACTAAAGAGAACAACAAACGCTAATTTGCTATCATCAGAAGGCGTGGGAAGGAATCATGATATATTTTTTCCTTAAATAGAACAATAGGATGTGACTATTAAATAAAGATGTCCAGACTTTTAGTTGCTTCTATGTATGCTCGTTTGCTTTTCAAAACGTTTGAAAGGTTTACTTTTAAACCTTAAAAACTAAAGGTTTAATTCTGTGGCCTGTACTGAAGTATTAAAAATCAGCATCCTTCTTGTATTCAAAGATCTGCTTCGATTATGTCTTTACTCCTGTTGGAGTATCAGTGGCAATTTGTGTTGAAATTCTGAATGTGATATTTCCATGAAATGACAGCTGTGGGTGGAACGCAAGTAAATGCAAGAAGATACCATGGTTACAAAGAAGGATTTGAGATCTTCTCGCTGGTCCTATATTTTAACAGACTTAATGATGAAGAATGACATTGTATGATTATTCAGCTAGTCACGGAAAGTTACCGTTTCTGGGAACCCAACCAGTAAAACAGATTGGTAAAAGAATATTTTTAGTACCAATAAAAGGATTTTGGAGTTGAATGTTTTATATCAATGTTTGCTGGGCCTTGACTGACTTTGTGAGTCTTATTGGTCATGAAGCAAAATATCTTAAGTAAGAAGATACTTACTTAGATCTTTAGCCTTAGAAGGCTTAGAAGATCTTAGCCTTAGAAGGCTTCTTAGATCTTTTTTCCTATAAGGCATGTCTGAATTAATGTTACCATTATAGATTTTTAAGTCGTTTGTATGTTGAGGATTTCTTCTATTCATGTATTATAAGCATTCAAGAATTAGTAAGAAAAAGCAAAGGAAAAAATGTAAAAACCTTTCCTGTTAATTATGTGCATGTTTTAGAACAGACCTTGGTTATTCCATGCTTATCAGCAAAATGTTATTGTCTTACATTGATGTCACTGTTGTATGTATGTTCATGTTATTTGAGAGAGACATTATTCATAGACATACTTTAACATTTCATCACACCAAGAAGCCAACTAATGAAATGTCCCTAATCTTTTCCTTGGTCAGCCACGTTATACTGGATTGGCAGGAAATCAGATGTATATCCACATACATATTGACTCATTGGCACATTTGTTTAGTTAACTTGTGTCTGTGCTTATGTGTTTATTGCAGAGATCATTATATAATTGCCCTATGAAAACTGATGCTTTTAAAAATACCCTTGTACTAGTAGTTCTAATAAAAAAAAAGTAAAAGAAAAGGATGTCAGGGAAAATAATTTTCTCAACTATAAAAAATCTACTTACCTATACTCTTATTTTGTGCTATATTGTGAGTCATATTTAAGACTCAGACCACCATTTTCCACCACTTGTAAAACCCACACAGTGTGATACCGGGATCTGCCCAGATATAACTTGTAATGTTATGTAATTCATTCAATTGCCAGTACCAGGCTCTGCTTCCGTCTAATTCTTTGAACCACTTCAGTAGCAGTCATAGAAGTTAAAGGAAATTTGACTTAATATATACTGATCAACATTATGTTCTAAGCACGGTGCTGGATATGGGATACAAATCTTATTACACATATTACTGAATGTCTATCATGTTACAGACACTATGGTAAGAATATCTCAGAGGTTATTACCGATACGTGCAGAACCTCTTGTTTTGGTGGTGTGGTTTCATCATAACGATGAGGAAAGGGAAGCCTAGTGGAGCTCAGTAACTCACATATGTCCACAGAGTTAGTTGGTAACATAAGATGCTAAGCCAAGTCTCTTGGACTCCAAAGCCCTCCATTTTTCCACTCAAACATGCGGGCTATCTCCGAAAGTCCCCAAGGAAGCGGCCCACTTTAAATTGCCATCTGAAAAGGAGAAAGGAAGAAAAAAATGGACTTTTCAACAAGAAAGAAAAAGTTGGGCATAAATGAGGAGGAAAATTAGTTCTTGGATATAAACTCAACTATTTGTACCCCACTGGGCTGAGAGAAAGACACAGGGTCACGACACTGTCCTTCCTGCACAGAAGACGAACCCAGCTCTGACCTCAAGACCAAAGGCCAGGACAGTAGTTGTGTTTCTCTCCAATTGCTGTAAATATACCTGGATGAAGTGTGCATTCACAGCTCTGGCTAAATAATAAATGACTCACCTCTCTATCCTGACACACTGTATGTGCATGAACAATTTTATTTACCAAAATGCATGGAGAGGGTGGCACCTGTGGCTCAGCAAGTGGGGCGGTGGCGGGTTCAAGCCCAGACCCGACCAAACTGCAACAACAACAACAAAAAAAAACAGCCAGGTGTTATGGCAGGCGCCTGTAGTCCCAGCTACCTGGGAGGCTGAGGCAAGAGAATCACCTAAGCCCAGGAGTTGGAGGTTGCTGTGAGCTGAGTGATGCCATGGCACTCTACCGAGGGTGACGTAGTGAGACTTTGTCTCTACGAAAAAAAAATGCATGGAGAAGGAGGTGCTAATTTTGATTAAATTTTCTAATTACCTATTAAGTTAGCCAGAAACTTTTGTGTGCTTTCCAAAAAGAAATTAATCCATTTTAGACATGCCACAGAGTACTGGCATTACTTAATATTTCTAAGACCATTAACGATACCTTAGAAAGGTAAACCATTTTGAATATGGGTTTTCTTTCCTGAGTACTGTAGACAAGGAAGAGTTGGCTGAAACCTGACAGCATACTAGCAAGCATCCTGGAAATGGCTTCTCTTTCAACAATGAGTGGATAACAGAGAGAATTTAATCAAGACTTTTTCCTTGAGAAATTATGAATACATACTGTTGTAACTAGATAGATACACATGAACATTGATTGTTAATAAAATACATTCCTTGTATGTATTTCAGTTGAAATTATCCTCTATTCTAAAGAGGACGCCAGTCACCCAACCTGGGTGCATGTGATTTCACGTAAATCTTATGATGTCTCTTCCAGAAACAGACTTGCTTTGATTAGACATACAGGTTTTAAATATTATTTTGTTTTAGTTTTTCATTTCCCTAAAAGTTCAAATGCTCAAATAACATGCACAATTAGATGTAGTTAGGTATATAAATATAAAGCTTTAAATTCCATGTGTGTTTTTAATATCTGAATAACTACATAAAGAAATAATGTGGGCAACTACTTTAATTCTTTGTGTTATACTGATCTCTAGTGGTTGATAAATGTAACAGCAAAACAAATTTTCTTTGTTTAATTTTTGTTTCTAAAGGTGGTATCTGCAGGTTTAAGCAGATAGTGAGTTAGTCAATAATTCATGACTACGTGTTCTTTTACATTTGCTCTTCATACACCTGTTGCCCTTGAAAGGGAGGATTATTCATTTTTCTGAATGAAGCTCACAGCTTGTCACACTAAACAGTTGTAAGCTAATATTTGTGAGGTTATCAATACTGAGGCATACTCTGTGTAATAGAATTAGGTAATACAAGATTTTTTCAAGCAAAATAGCAAAATATATGTATAATTTATCAAGTATCCATCATACATAAGGTATATAATAATTACATAAGAAATGTTTTTTTTTTTTTCATTCTAACAAAGTTCTCTCCATTTTATGGAGGAGAAAACTGAGTTTGAGAGATACTGAGCCATTTATCCAACCTCTCAGGAGAGACAGTAGTAGGGAATAGAGGTGTGAATTCAGCTCTAGGTGACCTTAAACTGGATTTTTTTCTGATGTGCCTTTCACTTTTTTTAAATTTTATATATGATATTTATATTAAAAGTATATTTTGCTTAAAAAAGTAGGATAATTTATGCTACGTTTGTCTTTAAAAATTTAAACGCACAATTTTTGAAATGTAATTATTCTTCTATTACAGCCAACAGTGTCTCCAGAATTCCCTGATTCTGTTGCAGTGTAATCCTAAATGTAGGTAAATATTTTGCCATGTTCTCCTCCAAGCTTTCAGTGTAAAATTCTGAATAGAGTTCTCATGTTATCTGCAGCTCCTTTGGGCACCACTTTATTTTAATGGGCAGAAGAAATCCACCTAAATAAAATAAATACTATTTCTTCAATTATTTTAATAGCTTGTGGGAAAAAAATGCTGGCTCAGGAAGTCACCCCGAAGATTGTTGGAGGGAATAATGCGAAAGAAGGGGCCTGGCCCTGGCTTGCTGCTCTGTATTATAATAACCAACTGCTCTGTGGCGCGTCTCTCGTCAGCAGGGACTGGTTGGTGTCTGCCGCACACTGTGTGTATGGGTGAGTAAGGCGTCAGGACTCCCTGCCCAAACAAGGTCAAGTTCACTACTATGGACCTGCCCCGCATCCCTTTTCATGCAGCCTCACAAAACCATCCTCCCAGGGAAAACTTCCTGATGTTTATGACATTATGAACTGTCCAATCATCTCCCCATTAGAATCAGGTATAAAAATAGCTTGATTTAAAAAATTATTTTTCACTAGATACTTAAAATATTTTGTTTCTTACATTCATAAAAATTGACATTTTTACCTGTTCACAAGGTAAGCCTTTTTCAGAATGCAAAGCTGGTATTCAATGTCTAGATTGTGCCAGTTACTATTCAATTAGTTCCATATTTATTGTTAGCAAATTTTCAGTATCAAAGAGGATGAACAAGTATCCCTCAAACTATAACTATATTGTGCTCTAGAAGTTCGCGTTAGCCCTCTATTGTGGTTAGAATAAAAGTGTTTTTTAGTTCTATTTTGACGCTAAAATTTAGAACTAACATTAACCATATCAGCCTCTGTTCTATAATTGTAATTACACAAAATGTATTTAATTCTAGGATTTATTTTCTCTCTGTAGAAGCGGCTACTCCTAAAGTCAGTGCCTCAGGAGAGAATAGAGTGGGTGGAAAGGGGGAGAAAATAAATGATCCTCAGTCCAAGAAAATGTTAATTCTCTACTTCCACAAGAGAGACAGTACCTCTTTAGAGAGTCACATTCCAACCCTTCTGAACCATGAGAGAAAAAAAGGTGAGCCTCCTCATAGGAGATTTATTAGCCTGATGCAGGACTGATTTCCTGCCCCTGATAGGAGAGGTCTGGGAGTGTGAAAAGGATCAAGTTGCTCAGGCATGGAAGACACAGCCAGAGTTAGTTAGAGGTCTGGGAGTGTGAAAAGGACCAAGTTCCATGCTCAGGCATGGAAGACACAGCCAGGGTTAGTAAATAACTCCTCCTCCCAACACAGATGATGAAAGTTCTTGGGTAAATACAAACAAATTGTCAGACACAGAGGGTTGCGAAAGTTTTAGGGCAGATGAGCATTGAAGAATTACACTTGTACCTAAATACTCATCACACCAGAGTGAAAGGAGACTTGAATGCAAAATTCTAGGAATGTGGAGAATAAGAATTGTCAGCCAGATCTCAGGTTGGCCAACTAGCTGGTCTCCAAGGAGCTACTGCCGCATCTCTATCTGAAGTTCTTTCTGATTCTAGGCATTGAATGGATATCTAGGTGACTAAATTGCAGACTCTCACATATCTAGAGTGTGCTTTCTTGATTTTGCTGCCTTCTGTTAATTATATTTTTATCTTTTTTCAATCATACCATAATAAGTGTCTATCTCAGGCAATTTCCCATGCCCTGCTAAACATGGCTTTTAACCTTTACCTACACATATTCTCAGCCTTGGCATAACAGATAGGCAACATGTATTACATATCCTAACTCTGTTGCAAATAAAAGGTATTTAGCTAAATATTATGTTTTCTATTGCACATATGTATGTCTTAGTAAATTATCAACCTTGCTATATTAATCTTGAATTTGGTAAATTTCTTTGATGTTCTTGCAGAATGTACAATTTCCAAATGTCAACCTGGCTTGCAGTAATATTAGTGTTATCTTTCAGTTATCTACTTTACATATGTACCTTTTATAGGCCAATGATAATAACAAATCTTTTAAAACAATGAATACATGAAGAAAATAAAAAGGTCATTCCATGTAATGTAAACATGTGTTCAATCATATATGACATGAAGTGTCTTTTCACAGTTTTAATCTGAACCCAAGCAAACAAAGGTAAGCTGTACTACTAGAATTGTAAAAAAGTCAAAATTACCTTACCAATCTTGCAATTTATTTCCTTTAGCCATTCAAAGGAATTATTTTTTTCTTTTTCCATTGTCCAAGAGCTTTCTGACTTTCAACTACATGTCTCTAACAAAGCAGAAAAGTTTTTGATATTATTTTAGATAGTTTGATCAAAAAATATTTTTTGTCAATATGCTAGTACTGGCTGTTATTTGCCTTTTTAAAACTCAAATTGGGCTGTGAAAAGTTCAACTTCCTAACAAAAATAATAACCCAGATCAAGCAAGTTATTGAAATCATGTTATACAAATGGCTTGTCCTCAGTGGAAATTTTTTCCGGCTGTTTTACCTGTAGGTGGTAAATTGGCTCTTCTTTCTCCACTCTCACTCTCATGCTCCCATTTGCATCCCTCAAGCTCAGCGCTCCTGGATGATCCTACATATTCCTATGCCTGTTCTGGTCCTCTGTCACTGAGTTATCTCCTTTAACTGTAGGGTAGAGGGTGACTCCATCAAGTCACAAAGCCAGATGTACAGCAATAGCTAAAGTTCATTTGACTGCTTGGTAAAGGCAGGCTGAGACTCAGTAGACATCACTGCAAGAGCAAGAGTGCTTATCTTTTAAAGGTTTTGGGTAGGCGAGGTGGGTGGGGGAGAGAATTACTTTGTGTACTAGTGATACTGAACTTTTGATTTTGGATTTCCAGGCTCTTAGTCTTGACAATTCAATGAATTGACGGACCACAGGACAGAAGTTAGGTTTTATTTAACAGGTATTACAGCTCTTACAAGGAGCCAAACCTCCTTGCAGGGCAGGATACAAGTGTTACAGCTCTTACAAAGAGCCAAACCTCCTTACAGAGCAGGATGCAAGTGTTACAGCTCTTACAAAGAGCCAAACTTCCTTCCAGAGCAGGATCCAAGTGTTACAGCTCTTCCTCTTCTGGTCCTCTCCCTCTATGGTCTGCAGCAATCTGCTGAGGTCTTTGCTCTCCTGCTCTCTCTCCCTCCAAAGTCTGTAGGATCTGCCCCTAGGCTCTCTACTCAGGGGTTTATATAGGGACAGTTGTCCAATGAGCTGAAAGCTGAACTGATTGGTTTATTTTCTCCTAAAAACAGACCAATCAGGAGCAGGATTGAAAATGGACCAATCAGGGATGCACTGGAGGAATCGCCAGCGTTTTCCCCTGCCCAAATCAGGTCTTTTCACTACTAGAGCCTCAGGTGGGAGAGGAAAGCTCCCTCTGCTTGTTCCAGCCTGCTGGTTCCTTTGCCAGCCAGAGGTGGCAGGTCCCACAGCCCTGCTTAGCTGAGCTGGCTGGGGCGCCACTTTGTGCAGTATCGCTAGCAACTATTGCTAGGTACAGTTCCAGCTGGCTTCAGGCTGAGACTGTTCTGGTCCTTTATAGTTTAACCCCCCTGCAGCCACTATGTTCACTATAGTTCCATGTTTCTCCTGGCTGGGTCCCAGAAGAGGTGGTTTCAGCAGACATCACAGGACAGCCAAGGCCGAGTGCCTTATGCTCAAAATGGAGTGTCCTGTGCTTGCTCTGTTTTAGAGTTCCCCTGATCAACCTATCATTTACAACCTTAAAAGAGGGGTTTGGAAAAGTATGGACCAACTTGCTATGATTTAAAAGGGAAGATTGTCTTTGAACCAAAGGCTAGAATTTTGATCCTATCTATGCTATTGATCATATGCATGATTACAAACGTGAGATGTAGTATTTTTAAGTTTTAGTTTCCTCATCCATAGTTTGACGTAATGATATCTACTCAGGAGGGGGTTGTCAAGACAAAGTTAAGATGCTTCAGTACTTATACATACTGTAATTCATACAAATGTGCAACAAAAATTTTACTGTGTTGCAGTTCCAGCATAGGAAATCTCTCTGGAAAAAAAAAAAAATCCAAGTCTTATACAACAGCTATCCACTATACTTATTTCTGAGCTTTTTGTGTTGACATAAATTCAAATAAATATGAATAAAAATTGCAAAACTAGTACAGAGAACTCTTTTATACTCTTCCCAGATTCATCAGTTGTTTGCCTTCTACTTCATATACTTTATTATGTCTTTCTAAGACTTGAGACATATTTTTTTTTCGGAACCATCTGATGGTAAGTTAGATTTTTTTTTTTTTTTTTGAGACCAAGTCTCATTTTCTCCCCCTCTGTAGGTGCTGTGGCTAATAGCTCACAGCAACCTCAAACTCTTGGGCTCAAGTGGTTCTCTTGCCTCAGCCTCTCAAGTATCTGGGACTACAGGTGCCTGCCACAACACCTGGCTATTTTTAGAGATGGGATCCTGCTCTTGCTCAGGCTGGTCTTGAAACTGAGAGCTCAGGCAATCCACCTGCCTCAGCCTCCTAGAGTGCTAAGATTACAGGTGTGAGCCACCACGCCCAGCCCAGTTAGATATTTTTTTAATCTTTAGATACTTCAGAATATTTTACTCCATGATCAGAGCATATTACATAAATTTAACATTAATGTGATGTAATTATTTAATGGATTATGCCAAATATACCCTTCATTTTGTTAGCATGTATTCCAGCTAGTCCAGAATAGTGCACCACCCTTAGATGCTATATCTTTTTCATCTTCTTTTGTCTGGAATAGCCCATTTCTGTTTTAAAGACGAAATAAGTTCTCTCTCTTCATCTAAATGATTTCTCTGAAGGCTGCCTTCCCTTTCCCTCAGCTTTGAGTAAATGAAAAAAAAAAAAAACTAGGATGGTTAATGTATTCCCCAATATCCCAACAGTGATTAGAAAGTACAGATTCTTGGTTCCTACTTGAAACTTCCAAATTTGAATCTCTGGAGATGAAAAGTAGGAATACACATTTTTAGCAAGTTTTTCAAATGATTCATAACATTTGAGAACTGTTGATTATAACTTCTGTATTATCTAGTCATTTTCCACCAAAAACAAAAAGGCTCTGAAATTACTGTAGGATGTATTAATGCCAGTGGTGTGTATACTGGTTTGTGATTGTATTTGGGAAGTTAGGTACACAGACATACAAAGGTTTATGAAGCGGGACTTTAGGGAAAAAAAGGAAATAATGCATCTTTGAAGGATTTTTCCTAGGCATGATGGTACGTATGGAGGCTGGAATAATAAAAACATGAAAAAGAGGCTATTTTCCATGCAGTGCAAAAACGATTTTAGAAATTATCAAGAATGTGTTGCACTAGCAGTTTGAAGCACATATATTTAATCTTACTTTAATCTTTAAGTTTGTGGTTCATGTTATCGGTTTTCACGCAAAACCTAAAAATAACAACAGGAAATGGTGATTATTAAACTTTGTGTTAGAAATTCTTTCATGTCAGTAATTGTATTCGTTAGTTCTCACATGGAGTATAGAACACAAAACAGGAAAGAATTTGGGAGATTAGCTACCCTTTTTCTTATTTGACTTAATTTAACATTGATTCGAATCTATTGCAAATAAATTGTACATACTTCCTGAACTTTTATATAATAGATTTGGAGTTAATGTATGTAGAAAACATTTAAAGGACAATTCAGTCTTTTTCAATAGTAATATGTACTTTGTTAGCTTTAAATTAGAATCTATAGAAAGGTCTCATACATTCTTTAAGCAAATACTAATAGTTAATAATTAAATATTTTATCATTAACATAACATTATACATAATACATATTATTTATGTAGATATTTTATGTCCATACATAAATATTAAAACATTGGCTATATGAATAATTATAATGAAAATATTATATAAATAAATATAATGAAATGCAAAATAGCAAAAACATGGTATAGCAACTGTAAGATTACTTTTTGTAAATATTATAATTTGTGTAAGTATATGAAACATCATAGGATGGAAATATGTAGTTGTGAAATTTCTATCATGGAAATCTTCTAGAAAGTGTAAGAACTGCTGTGGATGGAGGGTGTCTCATACGTCTTTATCACAATCTCAGGAAAAACATGAAGCCATCCCAGTGGACGGCAATCCTAGGCCTGCACATGACCTCAAATCTGACTTCTCCTCAAACAGCAGCTGTGCTGATAGATCAAATTGTCATAAGTCCACATTACAATAAACGGACAAAGGACAATGACATTGCAATGATGCATCTTGAAGTTCAAGTGAATTACACAGGTAAAATAAATTACTTTCAGTTACCAGATTAATTCAAAACGAGACTTGAAATGTCAGTATCAATGCATTAATCTATGAAGTTGACTAATATATTTCATAAATCACAACTTTTATTTTTGTTTTTAATTATGAATACAAATAGCTGTACATATGTATGGGGGACATGTGATATTTTGATACTAGTATATGATGTGTAGTGATCAAATCAGGGTAATTAGGGTTTCCATCACATCAAACATTTTATCATTTGTGGGAGGAACATTCTAATTCTACTCTTTCAGTTATTCTGATACAATAATAAGTTATTGTTAATCACAGTCACTCTGTTGTGCTACCAAGCTCTTGACCTTATTCCTTCTAACTAACTATATTTTTGTACCTATTAATTAAATTTGTTTCTCTTTGTAACATAAATGGAACTGGAGGATGGAGAAAAATATGTTAAATTTCTCTCATCAAGGTGTTTACATTCAACTTTCTAAAAAGGACCAGTAAAATAAAACTCTCAGATCACTCTACAAAACTTAACTCAAAAGAACTAAAGACAGAAATAGTAGGTCATGTTCTTACACATGCCTACTCTATTTCTCATGTGAAAGAAAAGCAGAGCCATCTACCAAAAAGGCCAAAGTAAGACATAAACTGAGATAAAAGCTCATCTTCTAAAGGTAGAGTAAGAATTAGGTTATTCATAAATAAAGTTGTTCAAGGGGGTTCAATAATGTTATTACAGTCACAAACAAAAATCTTTCTCCAAATACTAGGAAAATAAATAAAACAATTACCTGACAAAGTAAACTTTATTTCAAAGGATTCTATTCAAGTTTTTCCATCTCTGTGCTCACATGGGCTTTGATCCACCCACGTATTGCAGCACTTACGAAAGGTAGACTGTGACTATGGTTTGTGTATAGCCCTGTCCTTGAGAGTAAACACAGCCTCTATGCTCATTTGTGTATGACCTACGACTTACTTGCAACCAGTGCTTAATAATGTCAGGTGGCCTATAAATTGATCCAGAAAAGCTTTAAAAGTCAGTGGCCAATGTTAATGCTTCCATTAGAGCCCTATAAAACAATTACCTAAAAGGTTTTTAACATGGAGATATCTGGGGAAAATCAAAAAGGCCTCAGAACTTTCGCTCAAGTTTCTCTTAACTAATCCTAAAAACCAGTCTTACCAAGATTTTTTAAAACCTGATACCATTTTCAGGTGTTTTTTAAATTTCAGGTTAATATGAGGGTACATATGATTAGGTTACATGGATTACTAACATACATAGTTACTAACAAAAGTAAGGTTGTAGTCTGAGTTATAGTTGTGTCCTTCAGCCACATTGTGGAATTTTACTTAACTCCTTCTCCCCACCCCTCTACTTGAATTTTTCTCACATTCAAGCATGTAGTTGTTAATCTTCAAGTTTCAATTTACTGTTGAGTAAATGTGATGCTTGTTTTCCATCCTTGTGCTACTTTGCATAGGAGAAAATTCTACAAATCCATGCAGGTTTTTATGGAAGATACAAAATATGGAGCTTATTGCAAGGGTGCGAGTCAGATCTATCAAGTATTGAACACAAATATCTTAACACTGTGATTAAGTAAACGAGGTGAGAGCTATGTTAATTAGTAGGATGTAAGCATCCCAATTTGTACAAATAATCAACACATTGAATCTCACAAAGGCATAAATGTATTCATGATCTACATATATATGACTTAATAAAAAAAAATAAAAGGAGATACAAAATCTCCATCTTCTTTTTATGAGTGCCATGATTCTTTAAAACAAAAATCCAAGTGATTAACTCTAGAATAAGATATTATTTGCATATTAAAAAGCAATTAGGAGACTTCATAGAGAACCCTAAAAGGCCACCAGCAACACTAATATATTGCCAAAGAAATGTTTCTCTGAAGTGCCTCTTTCCCCTAATACTGATATCTGAAAATGTTCAAATTGGATGAAACAAAAATATAAGATTTTTAGATTAAATGTTGAAAATAATTGGTATTTAAAACTATCTATAGGGTGGCACCTTTGGCTTAGTGAGTAGAGCGCCAGCCTCATATACTGAAGGTGGTGGGTTCGAACCTGGCTCTGGCCAAACTGCAAAAAAAAAATAGCCAGGTGTTGTGGTGGGTGCCTATAGTCCCAGCTACTTGGGAGGCTGAGGCAAGAGAATCACCTAAGCCCAAGAGCTGGAGGCTGCTGTGAGCTGTGATGGCACAGCACTCTACCAAAAAAAAAAATAAAATAAAACTAGCTATACATGCACATGTGTCTTATCTACTTTTATTTTTGTTTGTTTTCTTTTTTTTTTTCTTTTCTAGATTACATACAACCTATTTGTTTACCAGAAGAGAATCAAGCTTTTCCCCCTGGAAGGATGTGTTTTATTGCTGGCTGGGGAAGACTTATACATCAAGGTAAATTATCACGTGCAAACGAAATAAAAGGCCTAAGAGTAAAAAGTATGCTATGTGCATTTATGGGATACAATGCACTGATTTTATATACAATGTGGAACCCTTACTTCTAACTGATTAACATAACCATCCCCTCACAAATTTGTTTGTTGTGATAACACATTTATACTCTATTCTTAATAGTTTTGAAATGTATCATTGCCTTATACACATTAGGTGAGCTCCCCCTAAATATCCTCCCTCCTCTTAGCCTCCCCTACTCCCTCCCCCTTCCTTCTCTTCTCTCCTTCTTTCTGGACTATAGTTATGTTTTACCAGTTCTATGAATGTGTAGGTGATTATATACTGATTTCATAGTAGCATTGAGTACATTGGATACTTTTTTTTTTCCATTCTTGAGATACTTTACTAAGAAGAACATGTTCCAGCTCCATCCAGGTAAACATTACAGATGTGAAGTCTCCATCTTTTTATGGCTGCATAGTATTCCATGCTAGTCATTCATGAGTTGATGGGAATTGGGCTGCTTCCATGACTTGGCAATTAGGAATTGGGCTGCAATAAACATTCTGGTGCAAATGTCTTTGTTGTAAAATGATTTTTGATCATCTGGGTATATACCTAGTAGAGGGATTGCAGGATCAAATAGTAGGTCCACTTTTAGTTCCTTGAATATCCTCCAAACTTCTTTCCAAATGGTTGTATTAGCGTACACTCCCACCAGCAGTGTGGAAGTGTTCCCTTCCCTCTGCATCCATGCCAACACCTGAGTTTTAGGATTTTGTTAAGATGCTAATCTTACTGGTATTAAATGATATCTCAAAGTGGTTTTGACTTGCATTTCTCTGATGATTAAAGATGATGAGCATTTTTTCATTTCATTTGTTTATAGGCTTTGTGCCTGTCTTCTTCAGAGAAGTTTCTGTTCAATTCTCCTGCTCACATAGAAATGGGGTTATTTGTTCTTTTCTTATCGATTAGTTTGAGTTCTCTGTGGATTCTAGTTATCAGACCTTTGTCAGAAGCATAACCTGAAAATATCTTTTCCCATTCTGCAGGCTGTCTCTTTGCTTTACTTACTGTGCTCTTGGCTGTGAAGAAGCTTTTTAGCTTGATCTGATCCCAGTAATATATTTTTGGTGTTGCTTCAATTGCCGGGTGGTACTCCTCATAGAAAATTCTCCCAGGCCAATTTCTTCAAGCATTTTCCTTGCACTCTCTCCTAATATTTTCATAGTTTCATGTCTTAAGATGAAATCTTTTATCCGGCAAGAATCAACTTTTGTTAATGGTGAGAGATGAGGGTTCAGTTTCATTCTTCTACAGGTCACCAACCAGTTCACCCAGTGAATGTTTTTGATAGGCTTATTGAAGTTCAAATGACAAAAATAGCTGGGTTCATCTCTTGGTTCTCTATTTTGTTCCATAAATCTACCCCTTTCTTTTTGTGCCAGTATGAGGCTATTTTGATCACTATAGATTTACAGTATAGCCTAAAGTCTGGAAACATGATACCTCCTGATTCGTTTTTATTTCTGAGTAATGTATTGGCTATTTGAGGTTTTTTCTGATTCCATATAAAACAAAGCACTATTTTTTCAAGTTCCTTAAAGTATGACAATCGTGCTTTAGTAGGGATTGTATTTTGATAATATCCAGCACCCTTTCATGATCAGAACACTCAAGAAAATAGGCTTACAAGTGTCATTTCTGAAACCGATAGAGGCCATCCATATACAGCAAACCCACAGCAAATATCATACTGAACGGAGTAAAATTGAAAATATTTCTCCTCAGACCTGGAACTAGGCAAGGTTGACCATTGTTTCCACTGCTACTTAACATAGTAATGGAAGTCTTAGCCATCTCAATCAGGCAAAAGAAGGCGATCAAGAGTATAAGGTCAGAGGAGATCAAACTCTAACTCTTCGTGGATGATATACTTATACATGGAAAATCCGAAGGACTCGACTCTACAAAACTCTTAGAAGTAATCAAGGAACACAGAAGCATCTCAGGATACAAAATCAATACTTACAAATGCAATGACTTTTATATATACCAACAATAGTCAAGCTGAAAATATAGTCAAGGACTCTATTCCCAGTAGTGCCAAAGAAGATGAAATATCTGGGAATTCATCTAACAAAAGACTTGAAAGATCCCTATAAAAAGAACTGTGAATCTCTGAGAAAAGAAATAGCTAAGAATGTTAACAAATGGAAAAACATACCATGCTCATTGCTGGGAAGAATCAACATTGTTAAAATGTATGATCTTTTTAAAAGGGAATTTACCTGTCTCCCAATCTCAGGATCTAATTTTGGTTTTATAAACATTCTGATAAAAGGAACATCTACATCTGTTAAGATAAGTATAGCCACAGATTATAGTAATTTATTTTTGTAAAGGACATAAAGTTTCATCAAAAGCCAAATTATTACCTATCACATTTCCCAAATCAATAAAATTATCTTTATTTATAATATAAAGGCCTCATAAATCACATTCCTTAAAAGCAGGGAATTCTTTCTAGCTTCAAAATCCTAATTCTGCCCCCTGACAGAAGACTTAGAAATGGCATGCACTTTACAGTGTGGAATAGAAATTGATTTACCATTCACCTCCTCACATCACTTGATAGCATGTTTTCCAAACACAAAACATATGCAAATTAAAAATAATCAAACATGTTTTCTTAAAGAAACAAAGTATTTCAGTACTTCATATCCTTTGAATGTAACCACAAGGTTCATTAGCTATGGAATTCCTGACTGTAATACCCCACCTCAGATAGAGTTTGCTTTAGTGATAAAGTGAAAATCAAGGGCCCTACAGTCCATTAGGAGGACCTGACCTCTGTAGTCTCAACTGATTACAGCCATGATGTTTAAAAGTCCTAATGGTATTTGAGATAAAAAATGTACAAAATCTTGTGGACAGGTACAGAGTTTCAGATTCAAAGTACTCACAGCTAAAATACCTTTTCCAGAAAGCTGTAAGTCAAATTCTTGCCTGATAAGTCTGACAAAGGTTTGCCACAGCAATTACGTTATACTGCTGAAAATGCCTCCTGTCTACTGTCCATTAAGTGTATTGAAGTCAAAGACTGTATATTCTTATATTTCTTCCACTTGAAAAATGTCATGATTTATTAAATTTGAGACTTAAACAGTAAAAATGATTCCTGGATAGATATTTTCTCTTTCAGACTTCAATCTAAAAGACATTTTACGACCACAATGTAGACTCTTCAAAAGCAAATTACCCAATAACAAAATTTAAGACTCTTTATTCCATAGGAAATGTATCTTCTGTTTTTCAGGGTTTTTTAAAGCTGAATAAATGTAGCTCACATTTACTTATTGATACTAAAGATGTATATTTAATTGACTTTTAAAAGTCTCTAAGAGGGCTATGGAGCCAGGAAAAAAAAATCTCTGAGATCAACTTCATTTAGGAATAGATGACCATGTCACGTTTAAATATTTCTTGAGTTATGGCAATTTTGATAGTCTTATGAACTCTGTCTTATGATTACCATATACTTATTTTCATAAAATCCAAGTTTCCCATCTTTTGAGTATATTACACTAATTAGTTAGAAAATCAAAGAAAATATTGTTCACTAGGAAGAAGTGAAGTGATGTTACTTGGGCAAATTAAGCCAATCAGTAAACTTAAAATTATTGAAGTGGGGGGGGGGGTATGTATCCTGAAATATGATCATGGTATGTTATGTTGACAAATAAATATTAAATATAAGAACACTTCTCAAATTCTCCTTCACCAAAGAGTTTCATTATCTACCAAATAAATTTTTAATTCATTGCCAAGCAGGAAAAAAATGGCTTTGTTCTTTACCATAAAACCTAAAGTCTACCAGCCCAAACTTGATCTTTGTTTGGTCAAAGAAGGATAAGAGTAAGATGTTTAATTTTATCTTTCATTTCTGTCCTTCCAACTCATTTCTTTAATAAGTCCACTGTCAAATTTGGAAAGTTGTCTAGTAATATTCACTTCATGTTCACTGTTATGCTGGTACCTCGAAATTGACATGGTGGGAGTGTTTACACCAAATGAGAAAAAGACACATTGGGGCTTTCACTTTTTCCAGAGAGCCAATGCTACACATTCACCAACAAACCACTGAGTCTTACATGTTTCCTTGCACCTAAATCTCTCTTAACACACATTACACACACACACACACACACACACACACACACACATTGTTTTTTCAGAGGCTTTAGTGAATGGATTAAACTTACGTGGAAATGACGTTGCATGCAGTTTTGCAACAGTACTGGCTGTCAAATGTACTAAATTACCCTCAACTTTCTACCTCTCTTGAGGAACCAAATAGAAATGCTAATTATTAGAAAGTGCTTATCACATGCCTTTTCTTGGGCACTAGACACCTGCTTTCATGTCTCTCTTGGGATTAGTATTTCAGCAAACAGAGATTCATACTTTCAGTGGATGAATCATTTTGTAAAAGGAGGGATGCACACTCTACTTTTAAGAAATGCCTCTTTTCTTTTCACCTGCATGTGGATGCCAAGCTGATTGGCCCTAGACGAGGGCACAGTTCATGTGAGCTTTGTCCTCTGCTCAGTGTGCACCTGCTCACCCACACAGCACCACAAAGAAGCTGAATGGCATCATATGGGAGGCAGCACCTCTTCAGGTGCCAAATGAAAAACTCTTCTCAGTTTCTGAGCTGTTGCTGATTTCCATGAATGAAACTCTTTGTGTCGGCAGGATTTTCTTTCATGAGTAATGCTGTAACTGTTTAAACCTATTGAAGATGCTAAAAACCATCTAGTCTAATCCACTATTGCTACCAGCCCTTTAGTAAAGAAAGAAGAGCTTTACTATTATCCATTTGGTAAAAAATCTACAGATGGGCTTTAGTAAGAGCTTTAAAGTGCAAAGGTTTAATATTTAGTTCCATTATACATACACAGAGTGCTTGAAAATGAGAGTGAAATTTTGGAGTAGATAAGATGGACGGTGTCTCATTAAAAGACGCACGCTGATTACTTCTGGCTGGCTGACTGCAGTGTCCATTTTGAGCAGGTCCTACTGCAAACATATTGCAAGAAGCTGAAGTTCCTCTTCTATCAAATGAGAAATGCCAACAACAGATGCAAGAATATAACATCACTGAAAATATGATATGTGCAGGCTATGAAGAAGGGGGAACAGATACCTGTCAGGTAACTATGTAAAACTGCTCCCTCTACACTTCCACAAAGCTTTCCTATATAATGGTTTCATTGATTAATAAGAATTTACAGGTAAGGGAATCATCAAGGTTTCTAATTTCACCTCTTCTTTTACAAAACTGTTTGTTTTTTGTTTTGTTTTGTTGTTTGTTTGTTCTTTTTTTGCCTATTCGCATAGAACTCCTATGTGGACCTGAAATTACAAACAAAACTAATACTAAAAACAAGGTTACAAATCAGATGTCTTTAGAGAATAAGTGTAATGAATGAATGTATGAGGTAGCCAGCTAACATACAGAGTCCTGGATCTGGGCTGAGACAGAAAGCGAGTGCCTCACCTAAAGGCATTTATTTTCAACTTTCCAATCATTTTAAACCCTGCACAAAGTTAAACAAAGAAAACAGACCTGGGGGCCAATTTGGTTTATGGGTCTCTGAATATCATTCCTGAGTTTAGAGTATAGTACAGGTATCTAAGGACCTGAAGTAATCTCTAAAGGATAAAAAGAAAAAACTTGGATAATCTACTTAGAGACAGGTCACAGCTGACCATGTGGAGGTAAAGAAAGAACTTCCTTGGCAGTTTGCCATACCCCTGACTCTGGAATCCTTATACTAGAATTTTTATATTATCTATTACATTTTATTTTGGAGATGTTATAACATGAACTTGCTGCAATGGTAATGACAATACACCAATAAATTTGAAAGGTCAATAACTTGCGTGACCATCAGAGAGAAGAAAAGAGCCTGTCACCTACCTCCTACCTTCATTTAAACAATATCTTACTATCTAGAAATGTTGTCTATTTATTAGTTCACAGAAATCCACATTCACTGAAGAAATAAAAAATAAATTCTGCTAGATTTTAAGAATCTTTTGGGAGGCAGCATGGTGGTGGTCATTAAGACCGTGGACTCTGTGTTCAGATGACACTTTTGTGATCTGGTTTTAAGTGATCCTGACTTACTGGTCAGACTTGGGGCAAGTCACTTGGGGTTTATTGAGAGGTTTAAATGAGAAAATATGCCTAAGACACCATGTGAGCATTCAAAAATATTAGCAGGTTTTATTATGAGGCTTAGAAAATACATTTCCTAGCACATTTTTTTTTGTATTTGAAAATTAATAAAATGTCAATGCATCAACATTCACTGAATTAGATTAGATTAGTGCTGATAGCATTACGGGCCTGACAAATAATTTTCAAATGCGGAAGTAGCAGTTAATATATAGCAGAAAAATGATTTCATGCTAAAGTCCAACAATTTGTTCCATGTATAAGCACCTAGATGTCATAATGACAATATATGACAAGACTTTTCAACAGACACTTAGGCAAATCATCTGTATACATTCCATCAATGTCTCAAGTCATGTTAAACTCTCAGTTTATTATACTTTGATAAACATTTGCGCATTCAAGACAAATCCAATAGTTTTCTTCTTGTTTAAAATGTATCCCTGGATCTCATACTTCCCTATTAAAATGAAAAGTGTGCTAAAGGTAAGATACATTGCCACTTAGGGGGAGATTTATAGAATTATTGTGTAGGAGGAAAATCAGCTGCACAACTTCAATTACAGTTAATGGGGACTGGGTAGCAGACACCTCATACACTAGGCAGAAAATATGACAGCTGATACTATTGATGTTAGTCTTACATTAAACCATTAACTCATGCCAGAGCTCTGAAATCTTATAGTTGGCTCTAATTTCTAGAGTCTGTTATTCATTAGCAAGTAAGAGAGCTCCCACACAAAGAAATACCTTGTGTAATATAATGTTATCTTAATTGAATAATCGATACTCCAGATTTTCACATGCTTTTCTTTGTTCAACTTTAATACTTTGTTTTATAAGAGCACTAACTGATAAGAGTGCATTATTTAAAACTGTGAACATGCGATTATTGATCATTATTTAAGTAAGTTCGTTGAAGCATTATTTGTTTAGCCATATAATGGCAAAGAGTTCACAACAAGGTTATTCAGAGCTTCTTGAATGTCTTCTGGCTCACCAAAGACTTGTCTTTTGGAGGCAGCTGTCTAGATGAGGGGCTAGAGAATGCCTTCTCTACATAAAACCCAATAACTGACACTCTACTAACTATTCTGATCCATATTCTATACGAGTGGCTTTCAAAGCTTGGCCTCTAGTCCAGCAGATCAGTGTCACCCCAGAACTTGGGAGAAATGCAAATTCTCAGGTCCTTCCTATCACACCCATTGAATCAGAAAATGTGAAGTTGGAGTCTAACAATGCGCATCTGGTTTAGTCCTCCAGGTGATTCTGATGCATGTTAAAATTTTAGAATTACTATTTTAAACAATCATTCCCACCAACCAACCTTTACACCCAGATAGTCAAAGAAAGTAGTGATGGTTTTGTTTTCTATGTATAGTATCTAACTGGAAATAGAAAGTTAATGCTTTACATTCCAGGCATTCATACATATTTTTAACATAGTTACAAATCTCTGAGATAGTAGAAAAAGGAAATACCTTTATAGAACAGATCAGAAAATTAAAGCAGGGAAAAGTTACGTGACTGAGCTGAAGTGGCATAGTTAGATGGTGGGAAATGATGGAGACAGACCTAGGTCTCCCAACCAGATAGACCACTCCGGAGACAGGCAACAGTGGGCTGCGGGGTCCTTAAGTCACCCAGTATGCACAGGATAAGTTAAAACTCCTACTATGTCTGGATCCTCTTGTCTATTACCAAATGACTCCTTTGAAAAATACTCAACAGTTAAAGTTTATTTTTAATAATTTCCAAATCTTACAAAATGCACCAGGAGCCTTGGATGTATGCTGTTCTGTAAATATGTCTGAAGGCATATTACAAACTAAGGACTTACGATGCAGAAATAAAAATCACAGTGCCTGTTTTCAAACATCTTTGTTATATCTGGGATACTGGTAAGCTGTGTTTGCCAATGCAATTTGTCTTCCTCAGTATGAAAGAGAAAAAAAGGTAGATCGCATTTTTTTTCCTTAAGTCCAGTTGCCCGAAGATGGTAAAGAATCAGGCAAAAGGTCTCCCAGCATATTTGCTAGGATTGAGCTTGGCTTGAGATCTTTTATTATACCAGTGATTTTAAGCAAAGTATAGAAAATGTCAAATTCCTTCATAAATATAAAAAATATTAATTAAAAATATCTGCATAATTAACATGGGGCAAATACTTGCCAATTTTGTGCCATTACATAATGATACCACACATTTGCATTATCCTTGCATTACACAGGAATTTTTCAAATAAAAGCTATGCAATTAATTTTACTAGGATCTGTTATAATTAATGTTTGTGAAAATTAAAAACATTTCTTCAATTGTTTGAAATCTCAGATGAAAACGTGTGTTCCTAGCACTAGAAAGTACACCATAGATTTGTCTATTTCAGTTGAAATGTCAAAGCTTCAAATTTGACAGTGTATGTTGAGTGCCAAATAGTTAATGCTACCTAAAAGAACTGTAATCATTGATGTGAATTTTAATTTTTCTGGAAAGAATTTTGTGGAATAATTTGTCTTTTCCACAAAGTCCTTCATGATACTTAGATCAAAATGACTGACTCATATATTTTATCGGATGCTTTTCATAGCTGTGCTTCAGAGAATTTCTTAGGTATCAATCAAATGCCATAATTAAAGCAGGAAAACTCTTTCTACAAAAGTGTATTATAAAAAAAATATAAACTATGTCTTCATTATCATAGTTTCTCTGTCTCCTTTTTGGAGACAAAAGGGTTCTCATTCCTGACCTAGAGTGAAAGTGAGACATACATAAAGTGAGACAATATACTCACAATTAAATAGTATTTTTCAATCCTTTTCTTTAATTCATTCATTAAAAGAAATTTTATATATGTATATCAATTGACCATGTATCTACCATTTTATTTTACAATTCACTCTTTAGGGGGATTCAGGAGGACCATTAATGTGCCAAGAAAACAACAGGTGGTTCCTTGCTGGTGTGACGTCGTTTGGATACCAATGTGCACTGCCTCATCGCCCAGGGGTGTATGTCCGCGTCCCAAGGTTCACAGAATGGATACAAAGTTTTCTACATTAGAGCATTTCTAAAGTTAAACATGAAAGTTGGCTAGTTTTCCCATTCCACCTCATGGAGCATAGAAAGTGATAGTTTTGTTTAAAAAAATAAAAAGTTACAAGAAGCCTTTCTTTCTAAGCCACTGAAATGTTAGGGAGAGGGGTAATCAAATAAAAAATAATAATTTTGCCATGCAAAGGAACTTTAAAATGCATTTTGATTTTATTTTGAATAGCTGCTCCTTCACAGATGTAATTTCCTTTGTCCTTAACTATCATTTTTATCATTTTTTTCTGTTATTGAAAAGGATGCTATATTAACATACACCAGACATTTAATAAAGCCTGAGCAAAATTAGAAAAAGATGTGGAATAAATTGTCTTGTCCAAAATATGTTATTGTCTAAAACACATGGTTATAAATTGTCTAGTTCCAGTTTAGTTGCTATTCTCAGAATCTCAATAGTTGCCCTGATTTTAATACAAACACATTTTGTCTCATCTTAGGTATAACCTTCATATTTTCCCCACTCATAAAAAATATTTATTGTAAGCTCATATCACAGACCTAGACTACATTTATATTACATTCCTCCCAAATAAGTTAATTAAATAAGAAATAGGCATAAGTCTATATATTTTCTAGCATCAAAATAAAAGACAAATTACCTGATATGGTCATTTTATATCAAAGAATTTTTTACCTAGGTTATGCATACTTTCCATTTACTTCAATGCAGTATTTTTTAAGTCTCAAATGAAAAATAATCAGACATATCAAAGCAATGAAATTATTACAAATATTTTTCTTGGTTGATATGTGTAACAGTGGATAGTTCCAGCACTTGAAGAACGTATTTAGACGCAGGTGAATTGCTATTTGAAAGCCCAAAATATGGAATAAGTGAATTTGCTTCACTCCTTTAATCTCTAGGATTATTTCCTAACTTTAACTAAGCTTACCACACAGAATCTGTTGATGTATTTCATACCTAGTTAATACAAAACATCTCCACACACATGCACATTCTCTCATGAGACCATCTAGTAAGACAGAAGAGAGAGGAAGGTTTAAGACCAGTTGGTATGGAATGGCTTTCTGAAAGAAAGAAAATTGAGCTACACTTGGAAGGAATGGTTATTACTGATGCATTGAAGAGAGAACTGGGGGCTCACTGAGTAGCTGGGAGTGACTCTAAAAGTTCAGGGAGAGAAGTCAGTAGAAAATCATGTGTTAGTGTAGACAACAACTCTAAATTAGTAAAAAAAAAATAAATAAATAAATAAAGTGGGAGGTGTGGGGGGGAACAGTTATATGAAGAATCCATGGCTAGATAATGCAGGACCACAAAATCATAGTTGCGAATTGTAAATGTATTCTTACGACAAAAAATTGGAGCCCCTAAACACATTATTCTCTCAAAGACCTTTCCAATAACCTTATTCGAATAGTTGGGATGGAGCAAAGCAATACTTATTTTTAGTGTCTGAAGATTATTCCACTTTTTTTCTACATTTCCAAACATAAACTGGAAGAATGTTCAGAAAATTACATTCACAATAGATACACTATGTCCATCTTTTTATTTTTTTAAAGGTAGATAAATTTTTATGGAACACTTAGGGCAACATCACTGTCTTCTAGTAAGAGAGAAATTCATTATCTTACTCCTAGTGGCTTATGAGTTGCGTCGTTGATACCAGGAGAGTTACCCCGACCAGGGCAGAGATAAAAGGCAAAGTGAAGACATTTTGCCCTTGCTTCACTTTTTTTGCCTTGCACTGGGGGACAGAGACAAAGGGGAATGTATCCTTCCATTAAGTCCTGACTAAAGAAGCAATGGATGGTGGTACCTTGGAGGGAAAAGGAGATTCTGGTACCGGGTCTCCTGTTCTACCTAGAAAGAAGGTTAACAGGCAAAGAAAGACATGTGCTACAAGTGCACAAATCTCAGCTTCGAAAGTTGCTGCCCATTCTCTCAATCTCTAAACAGCCAAAAAGGGGCTAATGCTCACTATTTTCTATTTTGCCTCTTAGTGGGTTGCCAGCCAACTTTGGTCGTGACTTGTGTTAATGAAAACATTTTATTATCGTACTGAAAAGGGTTGACAGGGAAAAGATTAGCTGTAACGACGATGCCTTCCATTCTTACCACACTTAAAGAGCATCTGTTTTCAACTTAATATACTGATGCTACCATATCTACTTCATTCACGTGAGAGATTTAGAAAACACCAATGGTCATTATTCAGAAACAAGAACTCTTTATTTGGTTAAAGGGGGCACAGAGACATTTGAAGACCAGATAGTTACAACTCTCTCTAGAAAAGAACAAGACACAGCATTGAAGACATTAGAGGGAGACCAGACAGAAGGGAGCTACCGTTTGTTACCTAAAGCAAGACCTCCACAGTGAATATTTGACCACTGAAGGACTCTAACCCATTCTCACACGAATTCATAGCTTCTTTCTCTCCTGAATTGTCAGTGAACTGTGCTTAACTCCACACTGATGGTGACCATTCACCTGGTCCAAACTGTAAGACTTCATCAGATACTAATATATATATTTACAGGCTAAGCTAAGGAAAACTTAGACAAACTCTGCAAATATCTGCCTCCAGGGTCACTCCCAAGTCTCAAACAACCATTTATGTTGTATGAGCAAGAGAAGGACCATATTGATTCCAGAACCCTCAGAGAGCTGCTTATAGTTGTATAGGCAACATGTGAAGACATATGATTTATACTGTGTACGCCACTTCTTTTGGAGGATAGACTGCACCATTGTTTGTACAGCTATTAATAAAGTCATTTTATTACAAAATCTGCTGAATTCTAAACTAAAAATAATTGTAAGGCACATGTCTTGCACAATGGAAATTAGACAATTCTTGCCTCCAAGTAAAATGTTTGAAGAAATTTGTACCACAGTTTATGAAATACCTTATTTCTGAAGAGATTTCTTAACCATTCACCAGCCAAACGCAGAGAAACAGAAAGAAGATAAACCATTTCTTGAGAAGAAACTTTTTCTCTGGTAATATATTTGTGGGTGTGGATTCAATTGACAACAGTAATAAATGTCTTTAATCAAAAGAGCATGTATTGAAAAATGAAACACCATAAAAATAAATATTAGAACAGTTCATTTTTATCAAACACTTAGGCAAAGGTAAAATTTTTTGCACACTGTAAATTTCAATACAATTTACATTACATTAACTAGATTACAACTTATGAAAGATGAAGGAAATAAAAAGAACTGCTTCCCACACATAACTCCCGATGTGTTGGTAGCAATTTAATCTGCATGGTCCATTCCGTTTACTCAAAGGTTGGGCGCATTCTGTAGCAAAATAAGCATGTCTCACTCCATTATTAGCACAGCATGTTTTGTAAATGAAATAATAAACATATAAAAATTATTTTAATATTTGCCTCAAGGGGGAGCTTACAGTTCATCTTGCAGATCCCTTGAGGTTTCAAGCCATTCCAAGCTAATGTTCTGATGCCATTTTTATACAGATCCAGAATTATAAAATTCTAATTTTCATTTCTGGAATCAAATCAATGAACTATTACACTTCCATGCCGCTTTCCTTTCTGGTACTCTTTGAAATCCACAGTGTGGACTGGTTTGGGCTAGTTTTTGTTCTTCCTTTACTGAAAAACATAAGAAAAATAAATAAATTCAGTACCTAAAACTTAGGCATGTCTTGGTTGAAAAGGAGCTATCTCAGATGCCTCAGGCACTTATTTACCACAGGGTCTTCCTTGTCTCACCAGCATATTTTTCCATTCCTACAAAAAATTCTAGATTATTCCAGGTGTATGAAGATGGCAAATGGCTCTTTTGAATGGCAAAGAAAACAAAATGTATCTTTCCCTATTTGACTCTTCATAATTTAGACTTCACATGTACATATACAGTGTGTCTGAAATAATATGAAAAATTTACATGTTATTCCCCAATAACCCTTCATTTTCTTTGATCAGTGATTTTTTTAAATCTTGCTTTTTGAGTATTCTGCCACTAATGTATGCAAAATTTCATATAAAATCATCAAAACAATGCTTGTTCCCTAAATGTAAGGATGAGCCTCTACCCGTCTTCTCACCCGCCCAGCAGTTTTACTATCCGGTAGTGAAAGTCACTAGGTCTTTGAAAGCTTAGTTGTGATTTGATCTCGGAAGTCAATACAGTTCAATAGCAGTTATATGCCTTGGTAATTTAGGAGTATCTGAGTTCCTCCAGACCTGTGATACAACTTTCACTCCTGCAGATGTAGAATTCTGCCCCATCTTTCCAGCCTATGACTAGGTTCTGCTTCTCTCTTTCTATAAAATGGTCACTTTTAGGCATCTACAGAAGTACCTCTTCCTGAACTTACCCAAGTCATCCTCTGCCAGATTCCTTACCAAGATCTAGGTTTCTCTGAGCTAGCTTCCTTAGGATGGCCCCACCTGGAGCACTATTCTTTGCCTATCTGTGTCCCCTGTACCCTGCAGTTACTCCCTCCCTGACTACCCCAGCCCCGATTTCCAACATCTACTCCAATCCCTGCAGGCATCTCCCTGCCCCCTCCTCTTCAGCTACCAGACATTGCAGAACTCCTTTAAAGATCGAAAATAACTATTTCTAAACATGCCTGACCATTACAATTTTAAAATAGTTAATTCACTTCAATTTAACTGATTTTACATTAGTAAAATATTGTGGGGTTTATTGTAGGTTTTATAGATTTTTCATCCAAATAAGTAAGACCAACACAACTTTATTCTACAATGTAAATGTAAAATAACCCAAGCGAAGTTTATTAAGAGTATGTTTTGTAAATGGTAAACAAAGAGGTTAATTGTTAATTTGGCTTTTCTTGTAGAATTAGTATTTCATTTAAGAATTATTATCAGTTAGGGAAATAAGAGTTATTTTGAACATGACATGGAGTGAAATGATAGAAAGCTTCATGTGTACCAGGTTGGAATTTAAACTTTCTGCAAGGCACTCAGATGATAATGGAGTTGAGTCTTTGATGAAGTTTCTCCTTGCTTTCCTGGAAGAAAGGGAAAGGGCAGGATCTAAGAACAAATGAATTCAGTACCACAGCTAACTGAGGCATCAGGAGGGGTTCTATTTTGGCTTATTTTTCTCATTCTGAGACGTTCAAACAAGTGCAGACTCCACAGATCTTCATGTTGTAAAAACCTGGGAGACTTAGAATAAGGAGAATCACCACAATAAAAGACTATTTGGAAGAAAGGAAACAAACCATAAGGAAATCTCAGTTATTTGGCACTTTAGTAACTTTCATTTTATAAATGAAAATATCTAAATAATAGGTTCAAATTATTTTTTTTCAAGCCAATTTGCTGCTTGTAGATTTTCCTTACCAGCGTGGTTGGAAGAAGGACCTATATCACATCCTCTTCACTCATTCACTGATTTCCAGAATGATAAATCATCCATTAAACTCTTAGGAATTAGGGAAAGAAACTATATAGGAACTATGGTCTTCCTTCTATGCAAAATATTGAAAAAGAGCTTTTCACTATGTTCCACGTATATATGAAAGCCATGCGAACACAAAGTGAAGCATTAATTTTCCAGGATTTATCATTATTCAAAATATTTTAATATTCAGTTAATCACAGACTGGCTCCTTTTTAAAAATTATATGAGTAATTTAAAGACTACATGTATTTATTTTTTTCCCTAGGGTTTTCATTACATAGTGGGTTCATTAAGGTTTATCTCAGGAAAAGAAGACAAGGAAGTCCAAAGAGGAGAATTAATTCCTTGCAGGTTCTTCCCCGATGGAGACATTCTCTTGACCCGTTCTTATTTAAAACACTCAAAGATGCCCAGCTTATTCTAGCAAATAGGATCTTATGTAAACCTAGTATCTTTTCTTTTCCTTTTAACCCATATTTATATTTCATATTTATCATTTACCTGATAAATTGATATACATGGAAAAACTTCACCTCTTTAACCCAAGGGGAAGGGTAACAGAAATAAAAGCCATAATATTCCTCAGAAATCTTGTTGTTAAAATAAAGTATTTTATTTAAGATGCCTGCCAAAAAGTGATGTATTTTTACTACTACGATTTCTTTCCTCTTCTTAAGAGAGTCTCCTGAAATAAAACAGAAGCTTATGTCTTGAAGGTGGGACGTTACTACAAAGGGTACGTACCTACAATGTCAAGTCCTACACATAGCTTGATGTCTACATTGTGAAAGGTCTAGCATCGTCCAGGAGCAGAAGCCCACTCCTATAATCCTAGCACTCTGGGACAGTGGGGTGGGAGGATCCCTTGAGTTTGAGATCCCCTGATCTTTTGAGCTCAGGAGTTCAAAACCAGCATGAACAGGAGCAAGACCCCATCTTTACCAAAAATAGAAATATTAGCTGGGCTTTATGGGGGGCTGTAGTCCCCGCTACTCAGGAGGCTGAGGCAGGAGGATCACCTGAGCCCAGATATGTGATGTTATGTGATTAGGCTGACACTGCAGCACTCTAGCCTAGGGCAAAAAAGTGAGACTTGTCTATTTCCAAAAAAAAAAAAAAACGGGGGGGGGTAGTAGAGCGCATACATTGTAATCTTACAAACGTGTAATTTTCAAATGTACCAGGTACACTAGCTATGGTACTGAAGACAGATTAAGTAGCCCATCTAAACCACCATCTTCTCTGCTGAAAAATGGAAACAGAAGGAAACATGCTTCACAAGCCTGATAAGAATTAAATGAGATGCTGCATGAATCCTATCATCGAGATTTATCATGTGAGACTATACATACTGGATTTATACTGATAAACATCAGAACTACCTTAAGGCAAATTAAAAATATAATTAATTTAATTTTGTACTAAAGCACTACAAAGATTTCTGAAAGCCTGGGACACTTGGCATAAATAGAATCACCACACTATGTAAAGCGTTTTCAAGTTGTCTCTGCATACTTGAATTACTTTACCTTTTATGTAGCATCTGGAAACAGCAGGTTCCAAAAGCAACTAGTATCAGTAAGAGCAGCGGTATCGTCGGTATAACAACATAAATTAGATTGGGAATTATGCCTACAAAAGTAAAACAGTCTTAGAGTACAGATAGTTGAGGAAGAATTCTAATAACAAAAAAGGGTATAAGAATTTTCTAAAAACTTAAGGTAAAATAGTTTCCAAACAAGCTTTTTCCTAACTACTGAAAACTTTAATGAAATCGTCTACATTTATGCACCCCACAGTGCCATTTCTGTCAACAATGAACTGCGTATATGGTGGTGGTCCCATAAGACTGTAATGGAGATACCCTATGCCGATGTCTCATTTATCTTTTATACCATATTTTCACTGTACTTTTTCTATGTTTAGATATGTCTAGGTGCACTAATACTTACCATTTTGCTTAAACTGCCTGCAGTGTTCAGTATGGTGACATGCTGTACAGGTGTGCAGCCTGGGAGCCACGGGCCACCAGATAGCCTAAGTGTGTTGTAGGCTATACCACTTAGGTCTGGGTAAAGACACTGTATGGTTCACACGACCACAAAGTCTTTTAAGATTTACATTTCTCAGAACTCATCCCTGTTGCTAAGCAATGCTATGATTGTATTTGTGTTCTGGTAAAAATTAAAAACAAAATTTTGCTGTACTAATTGTCATATTCCATTTCAATATCTGTACTTTCAAACTATAATTAAATCTGCAATTCAGACATGGGCTATTTTCATAATATATGAATCTTAGCTATATCACTTCATTAAGCCTCAACATTATTTATGTTCAAGTACTGATTATTAAAGAATAATGACTATTAAAATCATTGTTGACTTATTGAATAAATAATTATCCTAGCCAATAAGTTCAATGCCACGATGACAGCAAGAGTCTCTGGGATTAAACTGAAATATGTAAATATTAACTGATGATACAGTCATAACCCCGAGAGACAAGACTCCAGACACACAAAGACTTGATCTTAATTAAATTCTAAAATGAATCATTTCTTAATCCTGTTCCATCACACTTAACAATGTTAAGTATTTTTAGTAAAATAAAAAACCTGCAACACTGAATTCCCCTACAGCTTAATTAACTTTATTAAACATTTTTTTCAATGTCATGACAGGAAAAATATTTCTAATGTTATTATTTACTGATATCTTTAATTAGGTTTAGATGTTGTGGATGTTTTTAAAATAAGGCACCTGAAAAGTGATAAGCACTATCTCTTAATATGATGTCTACAAAAGAAAAGCAAATTGAAGTATTGCACATCTAGATCAAAAATTAAAAATCATCATCAGGACTAATCTAAATAATTCCAGTAAAAGTGGACTGTGCATAGATCAAGCTATCCACTTAATTGCACTTCTTTGTAAACAGAAGACTAATTCATAAGGTCTAGTGATAGGGAATTTAGGGGATAACTTGCTACGCTTTCCTCTAACCGTTTAAGCTTTTTAAGTCACCTGCTATGGGACTGAAGGCCAATTAAGTAGCCTTTCTAAGCCACATCTTCTCAACTGAAAAACAGAAACAGAAGGAAACATGCTTCACAAGCCTTGTGGGAACTAAGTGAGATATGACCTGCATCCTACAACTTAGGTATATTTTATTAGATGGCTTAGACTAGAATTGTACTGATAGATATGAAATCAGAATCTTCTTAAGGCCAATTAAAAATATAATTAATTGGGCAGCGCCTGTGGCTCAGAGGAGTAGGGCGCCGGCTCCATATGCTGCAGGTAGTGGGTTCAAACCCAGCCCCGGCCAAAAACTGCCAGAAAAAAAAAAAATTATAATAATATATATATATATATAAAAAATTACATTTTGCACTAATGTATTACAAAGATTTCAGAAAACCTGGGAGACTTTGCACAAATACAATTGCAACCATAACAGGCTATATTTCTTTTCCTTTACAAAATGCCACTATGATCTCTAATATATAACAGTAAAGAAAAAGATGTATTTCCTATACTTTTATGGATTGTGGATCCCCTGTGGAAAGATTCTGAGTCTTTGGTCTTTCATGCAATCTTCACAAAAGCAACTAGAATAAACATTTCTGCCCAAATGGCACAGGCCATGCTAAAGAGCCCCTCAGGGCTCCTGAAAGCAGTTTCCAATATGTGATTTGCATTGGGGATTGCATTTTGTTTGCTTTGCAGGCAGTGATGTGCCTGAGCTAGCTGGGTTGAGAGCTCAGCACATACATCTCTTCCCAATCTGGGGCACAGCAAGGTCATTTTGGTAGTCTGAAACAGGTTAGGAGAGGAGTATTTAGACCATGGAAATTGGCAAAGGCTACAAATCAGGTCTTTTATTTTATATTCCATCTCCACCCCAGCCAATCTCTAAACATTTACCAGCACCCCATTGTTTGAAGGCCAGTGAATGTGCCAGTTTCTATCGTATACACTGTTGGGGAAGTTAGTTGAAAATCCAAGTTTAAATCATTTCGTTCAATACCCTTTACGGACATTTGTAATGAAATTCTGAAGAAAACAACATAGTTTCTTCTATTCAGAAACTAGTTATCTCACCTAATTCAAAAGGAAATTGTTATAAACCCATATTTAGTGCATCACCTCCCCAAGCAACAAGAAAGGTTTCACTGGGGTCAATGTGAAGTAGCATTTGGAAGTACAGTTCTGTTCTTAACAGAAGAATTAAAGATATACATGAATTAATTACCTGCTTCAGTAACAACCACATTTTGTTGAGTGTCTCCTGGTTGATTTGTAAGATAAGGCTTTTCTACTGCGGCTGTTGGGTTAATTTCTGTAAACAGTAAGTATAGGTATTATATATAATGATTAGACAAGAGATATACAAAACGCATAAAAATAAATATTTATGATAAAACAATAAAAGCATTATAATTTTGATTTTTGAATAGTTTATAACTAAATATGTTCTGATTTTAAATTTACATGAAATTATCTAACCGCAAAGTCAACATTTAATTATCTTTGAATAAAAGATGCACTTGGTAAAATCGCCCTGTAGCCCTCAACTAAATTTAGCAATCAACAGAGGGTCTGTGCGGGTAACAGCCTGCTACAGGCAATAATGACAAAGCTGGCATTAAGTTAGGCAAAGATAGGCAAGAATTGGTGAATATAAGAATGTGAGACATTAAATACAATTCAAAGACAAACAAATGGGTCAGTTTCTTCACTAATATCAGTGTAATATTTAGGTTTTTCCTTACAGTAATAATCAGCAGATTACTATATACAGATTGCCTTTGGAAATGATGATTCCAGCAACAATGTCTCAAAGTATCTTTCTGTTCTATCCAAACAATGTCATCCTTAGAATTACTTTCCAATAGTCTCTACTTTTTAAAATAATTGTAATAAATTAAAGCTCTTTCCCTGGTTTTATCAGATGAGATCACTTCAATTTCTACATCCTTTTAAAATGTTGAAATTTCTTATCATGATTTGATACCGCTCTATATTTTCTCCCCCTTAGAAAACTATTTGTTAAATCAATGATTTAATGAAAGTAAACTGAATTAACTAAGAAAAAATCTTATACATTTGGTTTAATTCAATCAAAAATAAAATTCTGTATTTAATTTTGTCAATTGATGGGGACAAAACACATGTAGCATCTTACATGACCTTTAGAATATAGAAGTGTTTTCAGTATAATATTCACTACTGATTTATTGTCATAGAGTTTTTCTTCATTGGAATTGTAATCATACACCATCCTGTAATAATATTTATCACTCTTACACATAGATTTTACCTTGACACTCCAATAGCCTCCTGTAGGTCAGATTCAGTCCTTTCCTACATCCACTTTCCTACAGAACTTATGTCATGCTAGGACTATAGGTGGTTGTACTGGATACCAAGAGCCAGATGACCTCTGAGGAAGAGGATTTGCAGCTGGGGGGTGGACCCTCGAGCAATTCATCTGCAGGTTCCTTTCGGAGAAAGAGCTCGAGCCCATGGCGATCCTTAGGCACTCAGTCATTGTCTAATACTCCCCTCACCTGCCATGTACCATCTCAATAAAACGCTACTGCACAGGTTGCTCAGGGCCACCCTGCAATCAAGGTTAGCCCACTTGTACTTCTAATCTACGTCACGCCTGGTTTCTTCTTATGGCGATCCAGACCAGGGCCATAGGGGTTGGGATGGGTGGTCACGTGCTATTTACTAAACTAATATACAGATATTGTGCAATTTATCAACATAAAACAAGTTATTTTAAAAATAATTTAACCAATTTTAAAATAATGTATTGCTGATTAAAGCACAATTTTCAAAACATAATCCCATATATGTTATTCTTAGTATCTAAGAACAGAGTGAATAAGGCAAGGTTTTTGTTTTGTTTTTTTTTAAACAGAGTCTAATCTCACTCTGCACCCTGTTGATGAGGGCCATGGTGTCATAACAGCAACCTTAAACTCTTGGGCTCAAGCGATGATTTTCCCTCAGACACCCAAGTAGCTAAGAATATAGGCTCCTGCCACAATGCCCAGCTATTTTTTAGAGATGGGGTCTTGTTCTTGTTCTTGATCTCAAACTCCTGAGCTCAAACAATCGAACCTCCTCAACCTCCCAGAGTCCTAGGATTACAAGTGTGAGCCACCATGCCCAGCCTGTGCATAAGGCATTTTTAATACAAAATTTGGATTCAGAAGTGTCTCCATGAAAGTGTCTTTGGATGACACTGGTAGAACAAAGAATAGATATGCAACTCACAAGCCAGTCACAAAAAAGGGAGTGTAGCAACATAAGAAAAGTTAAAGGTGAGTTATTCAGTTTCAGCAAAGCCAGGCGAATATTTTACCACTTCAGATGTCATTAGTCATGCTCTCAGATGGTGTGTAGGAGCAAAAAGACATAAAAAACTTCAAATCACATAGTAGTCATAGTCAAGTTAGAAAATAATCATTCATAACAATGAGGGTTGTGATATAAATTTTAATTAGCTATACTCCTTAGTTCTCTAACCTCCACATCAGAGAATTTAATCAAATCACCAGTGTCCTTCACAAAGCAGACACAAAGCTCAAGGAAGGCTAACTAAACAGAAAAACAAAAAAACTTTAAAGATAAAAAGATTAAAAAGTGAAATAAAGAATAAAAATCTGAGCACAATACAAGGCCAACTATAAACCTGTACACGTGCATCCAAATAATAACTACATAAAAGAATACTTCAATAAATACAGGTAATTTGAAGATTTGTGTAGAACGTAGAAGATGGGGAGACAATAATTTTATGCATTCAATGCTCTTACGGGACTAATATAAACCTCAATTGCCTAATAGAAAACAAAAAGATTATAGGTTTGATGATCTAATGGGGTAAGTTTGAATGCAAACAAGTAAAATAAAATAAACGGTCAAATAGTTGATCTAAGAATTCAAAAGCAAGGACAAGGTAATTTAATATTAAGAATAATCTATAATATACTCTTTATTTGATAATTTTAAGCATATACAGTGTCAGAAATTAAAAACATCAGAAAATTTCAGCTTTATATTTTCCAAGAGAAAAATGAAGAGCACCTAAGTGCAGAACAAATTGAGCTTTACAAAGGCTTCCAGGAGGGTAATGATGGGATCAGCAACGAAGGGGGTTAAAGAAGAAACTCACAAGTGATATAAAAAGTTGGCTAATATACTCAAAAGCAAGACAAGTATAAGAGAAGGGTAAGTCTAATCCAGATAATCCCTTGTGCTTCATGGTTATATGAGTAAAGGAACCGTGTAATTTCAAGAGAACAAAGCAGCAGTACTCAATGATAATTGCCTTCCATGAACACATATTATGAGGTCAAGAGTTAAAATGACACTTCCAAATATTCAGGAGGAGAAAAACAACAACAAAGATCTCAACACCTAAGGATCTAAATTGACTTTCTCAGATGATAAAAAAAAAAAAAATGATTCTAGTTCCTCTTTCAGACAAACATCACTTCAGATGAGCTATCCTATTCAAACTCATTCAAATTTACTGTTTTCAACAGCAAACAAATCAGACTAGTATATCTGAAGTCAATATGAAATTCCCATTTGCTACATATGGCAAGAAGTTGGAGTTTTCAAAAGAGGGCTAACTAAGGAGGCGTTTTTCAGGAATGGAGATCATAGGAAGACGATGTCACCCGCCTCTACTTATTTCCTCTGTGGTGCAATGAGCTGCAATCAGTTTAATTCTCCCTGAGGACCACATATCAGGTATTATGCCAGGAAATGATAACTTGATGATTCAGGAGAAAATGCCTTTGTTTCCTTACATTCACCTAATGACCATGTAAAAAAACTGTTGTCCACAGGGGTAAGTCTATAGGTGCTTTGGTGATTTCTTACATGTTATACTGATTATTTAAAATTGTTCAAAGAGGTATTTCCCATGAATAAAATCTGTTTACTATAAACTATTATTTTTCTTAAAGACATCTTTCCTCATGTTTCTATTTACCCCATTCTGTTGAGTTCACTGGACAGTTAGTGCTACAGCATACAATACCCATCCAGTATACCAAGAGATATTATATAACTACCTATGAGGTAATTCCACACTTCATAGCAGAAAAACAAAAAGAGACAAAGGTAGGGAAGCTTAAAGATAAAACCTAATATTAGCAAGTAGGGACAAAGTCTGCGATACCGACTTATGCAATACTTCTTACCCGGTTCATACTTGCAAATATAGTTGTGCTTCATGTTGCACCTGTCGTCATTCCATTGGTAAAGGTAGGGACCCCCAAGGCCGGGATTGGCAGTTGGTTGATGGTACATCACAACACACTTTTCGCTCCCACAGGAAGGTTCATCCGTGTACCAGTTTCTGTGAATAGAGAGCAACAGGCTAGATACCTGTCTGGTAAGTGATTCTGCCTGTTTCCTATTAACAGTCTCCGGAGGTAACTCCTTTACCCTTCAGAGTCCCCCAGGAGAGCCCCACTGGGGCTCGGGACCTGTACTCACCGGTACTGGGAACTGCTTCCGTCAGACCACTGGTAGAGATCTGGGCAGGCGCCAGACGTTTGCCCGTCTCCATTTCTCCAAAGCCCTATCCAGAAGTCACCATCAGAAATCCCTGTTCCAGGCTTTGTCAGGTTTTGCAACATGCTCTCTATTAACTTCTGTTCTGCTTCATTCTCAAGGCTGAGGAGGACGCCTCCCTCACTCTCACAGGCCAGGCGTGCCTCCTGAAAGCTCACTCGGCTGGACAGCTCGTGGAAGTAGGCCATTTTGTAGCAGGGATGCTTGAAGTCAGCAAAACACACCTTTTGACCTGAAAAAAAAAATATAATAGATACTCATAGTGTCATCTGAACTATACTCAGAGCACCACTAAGCATCAAAATTAAAGAACCAGTCAAAACAAGAAACAGACCATCAAGAATGCTTCTCCCATTCAATCATTTTATAAAATTTATTTTTTCTTGCCTGTTGTTTTCAATTTGTAAAAGCTAATTGGTTTCCTAGTAAACAGGGAACACAAACTTTTAAACCCAGTACTTCAGGGAAATGTTTGTTAAGGGAAGTCATAATTCTTCTGGCTTAGATTTTTATAAACCAATTATCAAAGCAATTGAAAGCAGCTAAAGGAAGTTCAGGTGTATATAGCAAGGGTAGTTAAAAGGGCAAAGTTGTAAAAGAAGAATAACACACAAAGGAATTTAATTATTAAATATATGTAAAACAAAACAATTTTACTAAGGAGGTAAGAAAAACATGCTAAGTAGCAATTTAAAGCATAAATACTTGCTTTTACTTTGTATACCTGAGAGCAAATACAATAAAGTTGAAAGTTAATAGAGGCCAAAATGAAGGAAATTATCCTAAGAAAAAAATAATTAACATTTCTGGCATCAGTAATGACAGCTAGACTTCTAGAGTACTCACTATCTTTGAAATCTTACTACCCACACTTTGAGTCGTTTGTTTTTTTGAAATATCTTGTGCATGAACTCTAATCACTTGGCAATGTCTTCCTCATTGTACAGAGACATCTTGGATAAGTTAAGATGGACTGGCAAAAATAAATAAATAATTTTTATTTTTCAAAATAAAAATTTCCAATATGAACTTAGAGAATCAAATGCTCTTAAAAGGGAATGCACTTTAAATCTAAAAAAAATTACTGTCTTAGGGAACGGCTGGAACAAACACATCAAAATCAAGGTGGTAGTAAAATCTCATCAGTCCCTAATTATTGTCAATTTTTGGCAATTTGCATAGAGATCAGGGTAGGCTGAAATTTGACCAAACTTGTCAAAGACAAGTGAAGATGATAAATATACCTACTTGAGACCTATGAACAAGCAAACTTAAGAACAAATTACTTGTAAACTTTAGAGGCTCCACTTACATAAGAAATACATACTAAATAACAATGACTTCATCAAATTTAATCTTAAAATGCTCTATTAAACTAAAGTTAGTTCCTTTGTAAGTTTGAAAGTAATAACATTGTATTTTTATACCTTCCCTGATTTAGACTTTTATTAAATTTAAACACGAATTCATTTACATTCACCTTTTCCTTTGGTTTTATTACACATTTCTTTAGGAATAAAAATTGGAACCAATAAATACATAGAATAGTCTGAATTTGGAAGAATAGTATCAAATGTAATTTTTAAAAGTTAACAGCACTTAGTTAAACACCTATCCAGATATCTACTGACTTTAAATGTCACTATATACAGCAAATCGAAAATAAATTTGTTTCAAGACATCGGGCAGAATCATGCTTAAGATAATTCTTGAGACTTCTTCATGGAACTCTGCTCTAAAATCTGTAAATTCTTAAATACATAAACAATAAGAGTTTAATTTTAAAAAATTCTTAAAATTAAATTTTACATACCTTTAGATAGCAAACAAAATGAATATTCCTAATTATTTGATGCTATGCCTGCAAATATTCATGATCATATTGGGTCATAATAAAGCCATATATATATATACATACATGGGTACATATAAACTATATAGATAGATAGATAGATAGATAGATAGATAGATATGGATACAAACTATATATACATATATATATGGATACATACAAACTATACAAAAACTATACAAAAAATGCTGTAGAGTTTGTTTTCCAAGCCCAAAACTAAGCTAAAATCAGAGCAAAACTAAAAGAGTAATGAAGAATATGGGAAGAAATTTGGGGTAAGTAAAGGTAATGGAGAGGAATTCTTCGCAGTAGAGAAGCAGAGATCCTGAATGAACAAAGGAAGAAGCCAATGAAAACCAAAACAAAAGAGCATGATCACTCCAGAGATTGTAATCTTGGCACATAATCTCAGTGGTGAATGGGGCTTAGTGTAGACAAGAGAATAAAAAGAATTCCATTGCTGATAGAGTTAGCTAAATCCTATACACTGTAATATCAATATATAGATAGGTAGGTAGGTAGATAGATAGATAGATATAGATATCCATATATATTTTTGTTTGTTCGTATGGGATCAAATTTCTTCCCATATCCTCCATTACTCTTTTAGTCCTGCTCTGATTTTGCTTAGCTTTGAGCTTTGAAAACAAACGATACAGCATTTTTTGTTAAAATTAAGTCAAATTGGCTTGGCGCCTGTGGCTCAAGCGGCTAAGGCGCCAGCCACATACACCTAAGGTGGCGGGCTCAAATCCCTAGCCCGGGCCTGCCAAACAATAATGATGGCTGCAACAAAAAAATGGCCAGGTGTTGTGGCGGGCGCCTGTAGTCCCAGCTACTTGGGAGGCTGAGGCAGGAGACTTGCTTGAGCCCAGGAGTTGGAGGTTGCTGTGAGCTGTGATGCCACAGCACTCTACCCAGGGGGATAGCTTGAGGCTCCATCGCAAAAAAAAAAAAAAAAATTAAGTCAAATTACTTTATGCTAAAAAAAATTAACACACAGCTGCCTACCAAGAAAAGTATCAATAGGGGTTTTATGGTACTGGCAAAAATAAATAAATAAGCATTAAACCTTTGTACATTAACTACAGTTCATCACACTGAGCCAGTGTATTATACATATTGCTCCTCTCCCCACAATCATAATTAATATGCCCTATGATGACCCTCAGAGGCAAGAGGGGGCAGAAATCAGTAGAAAGCCATTAACCTCACAACAGTGTCAGAGTGATAGACATACCGTATTTTGACACAAGCTGAGAACAGCCAACTCATAAATAGTAGTTCCAGCAATGCAAGCAAGCTAACAGTTGTCCCCTCCACCTCATTAAGTGTGATCTGGACCCAGTAGCAACACAAAATAAATTAATTAACTGACTTCCAAAATTGTTAATAAAATATAGCATGATAGGATGAATGACCATGAAAAATGAGCTAAAGGGACTTCAGTAGAAAAAAGTCAGTCCAAAAATCAATAATCTTTGACGAATGATCACAGAAGTCCCAATGGTTGACTGTAACACAATTAACATATTATTTTAAAAATCGTTTCCTAATGTATTATTATTATTAGGTTTTGTGATAATTTCATTATTTGAAATGGTAGCTCCTAGTAATGTTCTAACAATGCCATCAAGCCTGTATTTTTATGCCTGTATTTTAGGAACAACCTGTTTCCAATTTTATCTACTCCATCCTTCATGTACTTCTAAGTCCCCCAATGGATCTTATTCCTTGATTTTTCAACTTGTTCAGTTTTTCACTCCAAGAACCTCCAGCCTTGGATTAGATTCCAACATCTTTCAGGTGTCACATTTGTTCAACAAGTTTGTTTTGCAGGATGTCAAAAAGATGACAAGATTAAAAAAAAAAAAAAAGAATAGCCAGATGTTTTAATGAGTAAAAAGTATTTATATGTATGAAAGCCAGCACCCATTCAGAGGATAGCTACGTATAACATATATGCTAAAAATCACTGTTCACTACCTTTAATATATTAAAAAAATGAATGCAACACAGATAATGGTGATGCAAATTAACTCAGTTTTAAAATTAAGGTAGTAAATTCATAAGATGGTTTTAAGCAGCATTTGAAAATTACTACCACCATTAAGTTGGTTTATAAAGTAATCAAGTCCTCTTTTGCAAACTAGGACTCGTAATTGAGTATGAGTTTTGATATATAAAAAAGAATACTATAAAAAAAAGAAGTAATAATAAAAGAAATCTATAGAACGGGATTATATTTAAAATATTTAACAAGTAATACTGCATGGGCCCTGGACAATAGCCAGCCCTGGCACTTTCTGTGCCAGGCCATCTTTCTTGGGTTATGGACAATGGAATAGTCCTCAGGTCCTGGGTGAGGGAAGGGAGGTTGTGATAGCTACAAAGCTGGGGATTCTCAGTGAATTAAGACAGCAGCCCATTGTCAGCTGCAACAGATACACACATGTTGACTCCAAAGTTTGATTGAATATCAGCTGTGTCTGCATATTTTGGACTAAAAAGTCACTGACAGTTCATATGTAGTAGAGAAATGTTTAGGAAATTATACATACATTGCACAACTTTTTATGGCTTATATATAATCAGCTAAAGCTGACACTGTGATTCTCTTAAAATCCAATTATATTTTACTAGTGATTTCTACCTTATTGAGCAAATTTGGTGCAAGTTGCAGCAAAATCAGTAGAAGCCGCAGCTATTGACCTTCTCACCGCCATTTCGGCTGCTCGCACTTGGCTGCCAGGGCAATGGGACTCCCAACAGCTGGGAAACAAATGTTCTCCTAATTCCCAGAAAAGTTCCGTTAATGCAGATCTTCTGGAAGCAACTTTCCCACCTCTGTAAGGGAAAATCTTCCCAGAGAACAATCATGATTACCTTCCTCCTTATTCTGTGCAACCCATGGAGAATTTCCCTGTCTCCTACTTTAAAGTTAGATTCCGATAAAAGCTTTCGTTGACACTTTATGAGCTAAATAAGTATTCTGAGAACCATATAATGGGTTTTATTACACTGAAGCTACGTTTAGACTAACTGTAAATTACTAAATGTCACCTAGCATCTGTAGTTGAGAACATCCTTTGATTGTTAGCTTATTTATCTGTAAAAGAGAGTAAAGACCTTCCACATGGGCTTCTACAAACCTACTGAGAAACGTGAAGACTGAGGTAATATTTTTACACCTGTTTTTGTTAACACATTCTGGATGTACACCAGGAGGTCAGTAATTTTTAAATTTAAAGCTTCTAAATAGAAAAATTCAACACTGACTTCTAAATTCCAAAATCCAATTGAATTTTTATACTGCCATGAAAAGAAGTGTATAATCCTATTAGTTTCACATACACACACCACACACACCACACACACAT